CAAAAGCAGCAGTGCTCTGCCACCTCCCCAAGCAAGTTACTTGTTTCATCATCGATGATGGGATTGAAGCACACACGATGTTTTTCATCAACTTGTTCAAAATTCAATGCCGTTGTTGCTTCATCGTTTTATGATTTAAAAGCAAAAGACATTGATGGAAATTTGGTTGATTTTTCATTGTTTAAAAAAAAGGTCTGTCTGATTGTGAATATCAATGAAGATGAATTGATTAGAATGAGCAAGGGTGTGGTTACTCATCCGATGGAATTTAAACAATTGATGGAATTACGTCTGTTGTATGAAAAATATGGAAAAAAGATTTGAATATTTTGGCATTCCCTTCGACGGAGAAGGAGGTCACTCACGAGCATACTCCTCCACAATACAATGTCGATTCCATTTTGCGTCAACCCAAAGAGGCTCAAGAGGATATTAAGCAAGTGATTCATGATACGTTCAAGGTCATGTCACCAATTCATTTGAACACTATTAATGAACATGAAGTGTTTGCTTTCTTGAAAGAAAAAGCTGAGGAATTGGAAAAGAAAATTGCAAGACATCCCGAACAATTTGAAGGAGAGGATGTTTCTGTCATTCAAATGTTTACCAAGTTTTTAGTGAATAGAAAAGGTCAAGTGGTGGCAAGATTTGGAAGAGATGTTGAGCCAGATCAAATGAATGTTTGGATTGAACAATTGCTTGCTGAAAAACCTTAATCATTTACAGAATTTTCTCACAGATTCGTTCACGGAACAATACTTTTGTAAAGGTCTGAAGAATGCTGCCGTACTATTGTCTCATTTGACTTTAAGTTTTTTATTACGTACGAAATACACTCAATTTCAATATAACAACAATAATTATTTATGTCCCATGATCTATATCTGATAAGGTCATACACTGATAACTCCAAAAGTTTTAAAGTGCCATATTGAACAAGAAATTTAGAATGGTGAAAAACAATACGAACGACATTTTTCTTTGGCAACTCTATATTTCATCACCTTTTAAGATCCATAGTACCATTGAGGTCACTCCATAAGGAATGTTATGAATATAGTCACATGGTCGTTTTAATTCTCCTTCATTGGGTAATTCATCAATAAGGTACGAAGTTTGAATGAAAGTGGCATAATTTTTCCCATTCTCAGCTGAGAATGGACTCTCAAAAGGTAATCGAAACAATTTGAAAATGTTTACAAAAATATTTAAAATTCAACACTCAACCGACTTTAAAATTCCAACAAAACAAAAGAATATTTATTCACATCTCCCTAACAACCTCCTTGTGTTAGGTTTTCGAAGTGAAATCTCAGAGGACCATCATGAATTCATTGTCCCAACAACCATCTCCCCCGAAAGGAATTAATGAATGGTCCAACTCATGCGTACATTCATCGAGCCATTCATGTTCAGGGACCACTTCTCCTCCTTCGACAAGCAATGTGAATAACCAAACCAGCCGATATAACAATCAAAACCTCTCCACTCAATATTGTCATTCTTCATCTCCTATTGGTGGCCGAGAAGAAACTTCTTCCTCGAACACCACCAATATGACCATCTCTTTCCAGGCGATGGAAGGCAGCTGCTCTTCCTGTACCACCGCGGTGGTTTCAACGCCAACGAGTAGTGCTTTGGAAAGTCACAATGTTGGAAGTGACTCCATACATGTGATTGAGGAATTGACCAAATTACTCAAATTGGAAAAAGAAAGAAATAGGCTCTTAATGTTAGAACAACAAATTTGGAAGCAAAAGGAACAACAACTCTCTCAAATTTTACACAATGACTTGGAAACTCTCAAAAACATCTCGGAAGCTAGTATTGGAAATTCAACTCCTTTCTCAACGACTTCAGGTCGCTCTTGTTTTAAACATGATTTTAAAGTTTCATCTCGAAGTGGTGATCAAACAGGTTCTTCCAAAGCCACGATCAACAACAGCACCACCACCAGCACCACCACTACTACTTCTGCCAACAAGTCAAACAATCACTCATTATTACCCATGACAAGTAGTAGTACCTCCACAGCTCCCTCACCTGGCACTACTTCCTCCCTGTCATCCACAATTGGTACACAACAATCTCTCCATACACCTCTTCCACCTCCCAAACCCATTCGATTGGTGACCAAGATGAAGCAGGCGTTAGCATCGAATCACTTGGGAGAGGATCAATTGTTGGAACATGTTAGAGAGTTTGTGAGTTTGGAGAAGGAATTTGCATTGGTATTGAAATGTTTGAATCGATATTTTCTTCCACTCATTCATGAATGTTTCAGGAAGAGAGAGATTTCGTGTTTTCCCAATTTGTTGGCCTTGGATCATTTGTTAGTCATTATGAAATTGAATGCTCAAATTTATCAAGAATTTGACAACTTTTTGAATCATCCTCACCAACAACAAGAAAACAAATCTCTCAATTTACAACAAATGAATGAGACTCCAACAACATGTCATTCATCCTCAAACAACCCTTCCAATAGTTTGTATGAACAGTTTTTGAGTGTTCTGTCCAATCATGTTCACAAATTGAGAATTTTTAAAAATTACGCTGAGCATCTTCCTTCCTTGTTACAAATCCTAAAGAAGGAATTGAAGAGTAACGAAGAATTTCAAGAATATGTGAGACGAAGTGAGAAGCACTTGTACTCACTCAAGGGTTCTCTGTGGCGAGTGGATGCCTTTTTTAAATTTCCCTTAGAGTATATTGAAAGGGCAGTCCAAATTTTGCAGAATTTAAAGCAAGCGGCAGAGAAAAGCTCCTCCTTAGATATGGAGATTCTTTCGATGGTGATTGAGAAGTTTTCCAAAATTCAAGAATACATTCGCTCCTCGACTCATCCAAAAATTGATTTATCTCAAATGACAGAAATTGCAGAATCTTTAGAGATGATTGGGTTGGTGACTGCCAAGAGGTATCTGATAAAGAGTTGTCTTGCGGAGAAGATGAGAGAGAGTGGAGCTGTGACTCCATGTCGATTATTTCTCTTCAATGATATGCTCATTATAAAATACACTCGAAAGTATCGATGGTTGTGGTAAGTAGATTTATAATTTTGAATAATTCGATCTTAATTCAAATGAATTCAACTCATATATGACAGTGTTAAAAAAGTAGTCTTTTATCTGGACGAAATTAATATACAACGGTTACCTCTTGTGTGTGTTAAAAATTATGAGTCGAACCCTTACTTACTAACTGTTATAAGAGGGAGTTTCGAACAAAAGCAATATAGCGTGACAATACGGTTTCGAGAAATGCAAGAGGTTTCAGAGTGGATGGACTTAATTCACGATTGCATTGACAAGGAGTGTACATCGATTATTATGAGCGAGCAAAATAAGTTAATTTGACCAAAATTGAAAAAATAAATATTGAGGCCTCTTTCAAGTTACCTAGTTATTGCTATTACTGGAAGAAGCAGTTGTTGTCGTGCCTTGAGAAACAATATTCTTTTGGGCTTTTCCTAATTCAACTGTTCGTGCTCGTTGAGCAAACCCAAGGGAGCACAGCGTTTCTGGGCAGCTTTCAACCGTTGGGCTAACATTCACGAACATGAGCATCTTGGAATTTCCGCCTAGTGAATCTTGAAGCAGGGAAGTAAGCTTAGAATTTCTGTATGGAATGTGGCTCTTCTTTGATGAAAGAGATGAAATAACGTCTCCCAAAGCGCTCAAACTCTTGTTGATGTTTTGAGCCTCCTTCAACCGGTCACCTTTAACATCAGTTCTCTTTAGTCTTTCACTTCCAGCCAAATCAATCAAGTGGAGCTTTCCAGACAGTTTTTGCTGAGTATAGAGATTCACTCCTTCAACAAAAACGCTGACGATGCAATGAGATCTGGAACTATGAGCATTGATGTTGTTATTACCAGTCGCTCTGTTTTCATAACCTTGAGAGAGCACTTTCCTTACGTCATCTGAGGAGTTAACTTTTATCCTAGTCAGGCCTGGAATAGTCACCTTGTTGCTGAGCATAATTTCAAGCTTGGTCTTATCCTTTGTGAGCAGATCATGAAGGTTTTCGTTATAAATTTCCATAACCGCTACTTCAACTTCATAATTATATTCCCCTTTTCTCTCTTTAATCATAAAGAATACCTCATCTAGAGTGTTGTAATTGACTCCTCGATTGTTGGGAGGGCCTTCCATGGTAAAAGTCTAGTATATGTAAACAGTTCAAAAATGATTTCATAATTGGAGTAGTTATTCAGAAGTTTTTGCATTTAGATCGCTAACTATGCAATTCATTATTCGAGAACATACCTTACCAGAACCGGTTTGTCCATAGGCAAATATACAAACATTATATCCATCCAAAATAGAAGTTGCCAAAGGTTTGACATCTTCAAATACTTGAGCTTGTGTGGAATCTGTTCCGAATACACTATCAAACTCGAATTTGTATGACTTTTTAGCCTCCTTGTCATAGATTTTCACCTCCTTGTCGTCAATACATTCAATGCAATTTTCAGTTTGCCCATCTTCAGGAAGTAATGGCCTCACTCTCAAGTTGACTCTAATATTACCTTTCAGGTCTTGAAGTTGATTGTACAGCAATCGCCTTTCTTTGAGTTCCTTCTTGTATTTTTCTTCAAGATCCTTATAACCATCCATGAGCTTCTTGAGCGCTGTTGAGGATATTTTGTGGAGTGAGGCAAGAAATTCTTTTGCATTTCTTGAGCCTCAACCTTGAGGTAATCATTTTCCAGTTTAACTGCTTGAATTTGTTTTTTCATTCTCACTATCTTCAATTGAGCATGTTTCAAGGAGCCCTCCTTTTGTTCCTTTAGCTTGTCTGCAGCCTCTTTCAACTCTTTCGAGTGCTTTTGCTTCATATCGGCAATGCTCTTGTCCAAAGTGACAACCTTTTCTTCGAGTTGCGAATTCTTTTGTTTCAGTTTTTCGATTGTTTTTGCATTTCAGAGTTAGCTGAGTTTTGTTTTTCCGATTCCTTTGCCTTTTTTTCTGCTTGTTTCTCGAGCTCCTTCTCCATCTCTTTTTTCTTTTTTTCAAGCTCTTGTTCTGATTCTCTTTGTTTCTTTTCATATTCTTTTTCCAGTTCTTTTTCTTTTTTCAAAGTCTCGCTCGAGCTCTTTTGTTTCTTTTCTAGGTCTATGGATTGACTTCCGACAGCATTTGCGCCTCGTGGTGTTGTTCTTGGAGTGGTCACTTTTCTCGCTTCCTCCACTTCGGCTTTGGCTTTTGAAAGTTCTTCCTTAAGTTTTTGAATTTCTTCTGCTTGTCTGGTTTTTGTTTTTTGGTCTTCTAATTGTTTTTGGAGAGCCTCTTGCAATTCTTTTCTTTTTTTCTTTTCATAGGCCTCTTCGGTGACAAATTTTCCAGTCGCATTTTGCATATTGCCTGTAGTGACCTGTTGTTGTTGAGAAGGAAGAGGAGGTTGTGTTTTTAACGAAGCAGTAGAGGATTGTTTTGTGAGCGTGGTGTTGGGGTTTTCTTGCTCATCTTCTGATGACATTAAGATATCGTCGTCATCGTCGTCTTCGGAAAGTAAGTCGTCAAGATCCAAGCCACCCAAACCTAATTGACTGGCAATTTGTTTTCTTTTTTGTAATTGTTCTTCCTTTGATTTTTTACTCTTATTCGGATCATAAGAGACAGGTTTTTGGAACGTTTTTCCTTAGGTCTTGGACTTTCTTCCGCAATATCTTGCTGCAGGTATTGTTTTGATAGAAAAAAAGAAGACGCCAAATTCAGCAACAACAAAGTAATTATTTGTTGTTTCAGAAATTTCATCATCACAATGAAGATAATGAGCGACTGCATTTGGTGGTTTCATCTCAACTTACCACTCTCCTCACATAATTTGCTGGAAACAATCCTACTTCTCCATTTGCTCTCTCTCCGATCCACCAATTACTTTCATGAGTCTCAATGACCTTCACCTTTTCATATTGAGTAAGGGTTAAATGTTGCTTATCGGACGGAAAGAAGTTGTACAACACCTCAACCACAAATTTTGGTGTTCTTCCTGCAAAGCTTGATGCATCGTTGGGATTTATCATCATTATCTCGTTTGCGTTGTGGTTCCTTCTTCTTCCGAGAGAGAGAAAATAATTATATTTCAGATGCCCTTGAGCTTGACTCGAGATATTTGTTTTTTGTTGGGAACTCTTAATCAAGGATTCCCGCCACTCCTGTTCGTTACTCGAATTTGTAAGAAGAAAATGGAGGGAAGGGTTGTTCCACATCAACATCGCGTTGCATCATCAGGACTTTGGTGATGGGTGTTGTTGGTTCTTCATAACGATAACACATTATTCGGAATGATGAGAGATACCGCAGTAGAGAAATGCCTCTGATCAACTTTGTATGGTTGTATTAATTTAATCATGCCAATACATGGAGTTTCAATGTTTAAATATCAATATACCGATAATAATCATTCAGAGTGATCGGCTGATGATAATTTATTTTAACGAGATAATTTTTGTAATCCTATTGCTGATGATAGCTGCATATCATCGGATTTTAGAAATCATACAAATCTAATCCAACATTTGATATTTAAATTCTTCAAAATTGATGAGTCCATCTTCATCCCAATCGGCTTGTTTGATCATTTCCTCAATGTCTTCATTACTCATAATTTCATCCATACTTTTCATCAAATCTTTCAATTCATTCTTATCCAATCTTCCATCGTGATTGGAATCGAATTTATCAAAAAGAGTTTTCAGTGTTTGAATTTCTTCACTTGAGGCTCGTTGCTCTTTCTGTTGTAGCTCTCTTCTCTTTTGTTCTTGTGACATTTTTTGTTTTTGTTGAAATGTCAACGTTTTTTGGGGTTGTGTCTATCAATATTTATCATCCGACCCAAACAATTTGGATATTCGCTCCATTTCTCATGATGTCAAAGTGTTTGATGAACACTCCAATGGGTGTTGGTTTATTTGTTGTCAACAAATGACACACAACGTTTCTGAATAATGTGTCATATGCAATTATTATTAATACAATACAAGAGAGATAGGTTCCACCAGGAAAAGATGCTCTAAAACTTTTCCATCTGTTTGACAAACTAGATCATTTGATTACACAAAAAGAAATGCTTGCCAATGTCTCATATAATAATTGCATTTAATACCTACCTCCTCAAAGTCAATTCTACCATCTCCATCCATATCGGCATCTGTTGAAAAAGATCAGTAACGAATGGTGGTGACATTATGAGCTCGGAATGATGATTTCGAAATAAATTCAGTCCAAAATACGTACCTTTCATCATTTGATCGACATCATTTTCTGTGATCTTTCCATCAGTGAGTTCTTTCATGACAGTGAATAATTCAAGCCGATCGATCGTTCCACTTTTATCTGAATCAATCTTTTCAAACATATTTCTGTAAATATTAATATCTTGTTCCGACAGTTTTTTGGACTTGCCAAATTAATTGTTATCAAAAAACACAAAGTTTGTGATGATCATCGTGTCACTCAACAACATTTGACATTCAGAGTTGCATATTTACCATTTCGTTGATTTTTGAAAAAATAAAAAATTTCTAAAATGAACGACAAGTCCATGTATGCAAGGTAGGTGTCACATCGGATTCCTTCTCGAATCGAGACAGATGCCAACCATCAAACAATGACAGAAAATTTTCTGTAATATTTCTGTGTGTCATAGCTTTTGTCACTTCATTCTTGATGATTGCCAATTATCGGTCAACCATGACACGAAATGTTGATTTACTCAATAATTTCCCGTCTTCAATTCCTTGTGATAATGATGACGATGAAAATAATTCAATCTTGAAGAAGAGAAAAATAGAATTGCTGTGCTATGGACTGGAGATATACGATGGTTTGGTGGAGGTATGTTTGCAATCACCGTACAATTTACTCTCAATATTGAGAAACAATCGGAATTGTTCCATAATTTCTTTCGGAAAATGTCTTTGATTGATGTTCAACACCACAACCCATGTGTGCCACTGAAGCATTTAATTTCATGAGAAATTGGTTTCTTGCACACAACGAATTTCCAGATTTATTTATTAACATGTTCTATAGGCATCATGGAGAAAAAGATTATTTTGAACAAATTCAACCTTTCCTAAAACACCTCGTCAAGGCCAACCTTGAAAAATATGACCAAGAGGAAATCATGAAACGACTGGAACATCAATATCCGAATTTTTCTGTGTTTTTAGAGGAATGCAAGAAATACGCCTCACACGATTCTTGCAGTCATTGGTTTTATTCCAGGTCGCAAATTAGAGAGGCTTTTTCGTATATGGAACAACATGATTCTAAAATGGTTGCCAAAAACAACTTGACAACAACCTCCTATTATGACATTGTATTTCGATTAAGCCCTGAAGTCATGCTTGAAACACGAATTGACTTGGTCAATTTCACAATGGATCCTAACACTTTTTATACCTCACAACTGTACTCTGGAGAAGGAGTCAATGATGAGATTGGTTTTGGATCTATAAAAGTCATGAGGACATACTCCTCACTCTTGCTGAAGGCAGAAAAGTTGGCAAGTATTACCTTGGGATTTCATCCGCAACTTTATTTAAGTAAGTATATGCATTGCAAATGAAGGAATGCATTCATTCCAAATATTTTTGTTACAGAGAACCATTTGTTGGAGAAGCGTGATGTGAAACTTCTTCCAATTGGATACAGACGTCTTAGAGGTCTTGAATTTGCACACCACGGATCTGAGATTAGAGAACCTTTTGATGACCTAATAGTGATGAACGACATTGGTCAACCACAGCCTTCTACAAACTAGTGATTGTGAATTGAAAGTGCCTTCTTCGCTAAAAGTACGCAATGATTAATTTATTAGTCACAATTTTTGAGCTGAGCTATATATTTGAAATTTAATTCACTTCTATTCTTTCATTTGGAAATTTGGATCCAACAACTTGAGTTTGTCTCTAAGTTCCTTGAGCTCTTCATTCTTATTCTTTACAATGGTCATCATGTTTTGGAATTGGGAAGTTTGATTGACTTTGAGGGTGAGCTCATTTTGGGCAGTGACAAGATCCTTTTTGATGGCCTCCTTTTCATGTTCTAATTGTAATACTTTTTGTTCATTTTGAGTGGCTTTCAGTTGTGTTTTTTCAAGTTCTTCATTTTGAGATTTGATAATAGAATTTAAGTGGGCAACCTTATTTCTTAACTCTTCAAGCTCCTTCTCGTCATTTGGATCATGAGCGCCTTGTAACTTGTTTTTCAACTTTTTGAGCTCGTCACTGACAGCGTTGTATTGATTTGTAATTTCTGTCTTCTCTTGCATCATTTCCTTGTATGACTTTTGAAGAGTTGTCAATTGCTCTCTCATGGAATCATTTTCTTTTTTCAATTTGAGAATATCTTCTGAATTTGTTTTGAGCGATGGAAGTTTGTTTCCTCCCACACTCTTTGGAAACATGTTATTTTCCATTTTGGCAATTTCTTGTAAAGTTTCTCTGTGAATCCGAGGTTCATGCAAATGTTGATTACATACAACAGCAATCAAGGAATAGATTGGAGTTGGAAAAAAGAGCATACTCAGCAAGTACTTACTCATTCTCAATACTTGAAATATCCACCTTCAATTTGAAACCAGCCTCATCGGCTTCCTTAAAAACTTGTCTCAATAATTCCAGAGAGGTATGATTGGAGTATTGAGTCTCGGACTTGATTGTTGACTTGAGAACAGTCTCCAAAGCATCAATAATGTTCTTCACTTCCAACAAACTGTATTGATTATCGAGTAATCGACTGTCCTTTACTTCCTGAATGACCTTGGACACCTCTCTCAAGTGCAGCTCGGTTTTATGATGGGTAAATTTGAGGTAACTTTCCACGACATGTTTATAATGATCGGAAAGACCCTGTAATAACACTTCTTCGACGTTGGATGCCATGGATGGATTTGATTGCATTTTGTATATTGATAAATGATAATTGATGATAGAGTTTCTCAGCAAGGCTCGGGTTTATGAATTGCAGCAGAAGCTCAAATGATGAATCTCTGTTTATAAAAGGCGGGAAGAGACGAGCGCTGTTGTTTTTTTCTTGCAATCGGCGCACCAGAGAGAGCTTTGATTCGATGTGATGATGAGTCGGAAGGAACACAAGGCAATGATCACGCGTATACAACAACATTGATAAAGGAAAAGAGGAACTTGCTTTCAACTTTAAGCAATCACCATGATCTAAATTGTAAATCGCAGTGGCGGGATCGATCGCAGACCCCCAAAAAAATTTCTTAAATGACCGAACAACGATCCGCGAGTTCCTTATCAAAAACCTCGACCACCACGAGTAAGAGCACTCATTCAAAAGTATCAACCTCCAATCCTAATGTTGCTGCCACCTCAACATTAACTTCGAGGCCAAACTCGAGAAATAATGAAACCGAGCACGGGCATCGGGAAGAGAAAAGACAGAAGGGGAGCAAGTCATTTCTGAAGAGAAGAATCATCATGCTGATGATGATCAAAAAGCATCACTGACCATTCAGAATGAAAGATCGGGAGAGAGCTATTCCACTTTGAAGACCTTTCTATCGAAATTGAGGTCCTCTGTTCTCATCGATTATTCCGAAGAAAAAAATAGAGTGTCCTTCAGGAATCAATTCTTTCAGCATGCAAAGGAAGTGTATAAAAAATTGAATTTACAAGACGAAGAGATTATTCCAAGATTGGAGAAATTAGATAGTACGTTTCGGATCATATTTTTACTGAAGGAAGGAATTGATTTTAATATATTGAAAAATTAATTTTAATTTTTAATATTTAAATCTGAAAGATGAAGGAAATTGGAGTTCAAACGCAGCATATACCATTAAAGCTGACATGTTTGGCTCTATTGAGTACAATATCAAAAACAACTGGAAGCAAGCAAAGCACTGCGAGAGCCAAAACCAATTGAGTAAGTAGTCATGTTGACAAATGATATTATTTATGAAGTGATGTGTGTCTGTTTAAACAAATATGATTTTCTGCTCAATGAAGCGAATTACTATTTAACGTAGCAACCACAGTATCAAGAGATTTTTTCGTTGGTCAATATGCTCGAAATATTTTCGAGATATTAATTTGTCTTCCTGTAAAATTACTGAGATCGATTCCGAGTTTGTAAATTATTGCAAGTTTCTAGAAATACTAAGTCTGTCATTCAATAAGATTGACTCAATCAAATTCCTTCCGCAGCAATTGTATGGCCTCAATGCATATTCGAACTCCATTTCAAAAGTTGTTCCCTTAAAAACGTTTCCAAACATTGTTCATCTCGGTCTGGGCTACAATAGATTAAATAATTTAGAGTTTATTGAGGAATGTCCATACTTGGCTTCTCTGGATGTTAGTTTTAACGATTTAACAAGTTTGGAAAAATCAATTCAATCGCTGACCAAAGTTCCGAATTTGAAAACTCTAAATTTGCAAGGAAACTGCTTTTGCATGCTCGAGCATTATAGAGGAGCGGTGTTCTCATCTTTACCAAAGATTGAAACACTAGATAACGAAAATTTTACAGAGGAGACCAGGAAAAGATATATTGACTTATTTCACGGTTTCTCAAACGAAAAGAGTAAGTGGGAGTCATTTGATTTTTATCTAATTAACATGTCATGACAATATTCGGTAGAAACAAAACTTGTTGTGACATTAGCATCATTGAGTGGAGTTAATTTTGATGAAGAAATCAAATTAATTGAAGATGAAAATGCCTCTGCCAACGATAAGAATGGAAAGAAAACGCCCATCAAAAGAATACCGTCCGCGAGTAAAAAAGAAAGCTCCAAACGCCAAGAAACCCAGTGAAATTACATTTTTCAAGAGTATTTATTACATTGTAAGGTTTTCTTGGCCCAAAGAGGACGAAAAAGATGAAACCGCCTTTATTGAAAGTAGTCCTGTCTATTTACCTGATCCTGATCCAAAAACAAACTCGAGGATTGTGTCCATTGATTTTAAGGATACCTTTGAATTTCATATTTCTGAAAAATCTCTTGGAGTGAAGCATCATATTGAGAGTAAGTATTTTTTAGGGACTGTTCATTCTAAGAGCAATTTATCTGTTACTTGTTAATAACATAAAGAACCCATAAGCTTTTACGTATATCGAATTGTTGCCAATATTCAAGATGACGATGATTCCAACAAGATTGAGTTATCGAGAGATTTGCTTGGAATTTTATTTGCAAATTTCAACATCTTATGGGAAAGAGGGTTTACACTACCTGTTCCAATACCTGAAGATGATGACTCTGCCAAGTCAGGAGACGAGCTCAAAGCACTCATGAAAAACTCATTAGAAGAACGTCATAACCTTCAAAACGATATCAGTACATCATCTTTGTCAAACCTAACGATGGGAGTCTCAATCACACAACCTAATGAGATTTGGGAGAGTTATGAAAAAGACTGGAAAGATCCAAAGAAGAGAAAACAAGCTGCTAAAACTGCCAACAACAAGAAACCACCCTCGAGAAAGTAACACGATTATGATATGTTTCAATACCTTTAATCAATTAGAGCTACATTCTTATTCGGAACTTTTCAGAAACAAAGATTATAATGGACATTAAACACTCCGTCGTTCATACGTCCACGTCAGCACCGAAACACTTTGAATTTCTGTGTTTTTCATGAGCTCTTTAGTTTTTGGAATCAAATTCATCAACATTTCAGATTAAAATCATCATTTTTAAAAAATGTCACAAACCAAGTCACTTGTCAATCGAGTTCTACCGATCCTCATGTTCCTCCTCTTCTTCATCATCATTCATTCCACCAACGTCATTACATGCGCTGCCATTGATGATGAAGTCATTGTCAAAGCGCCCATAGGAACCTATCAAGGATTTATTTCACAATTTCCAGAATACAAAGCCACAGCAAGAGCATTCACAGGCATTCGTTATGCAAAAGCTCCAGTGAACTCTCTCCGATGGAAACCCACACAACCATTGGATGCTTTTTCAGGAATTTACAATGCAACGATCGAAACACCTGGATGTCCACAACGATGTGAATTACCACCTCACACATGTCCCAAGACACAGAGTGAAGATTGTTTGTTTTGGATTTATATACGCCACGATTAGGAGCCATGAAAAGAATGAATTGTTACCTGTGTATGTGTTTTCCCTGGTGGTCATTTTGAGGTGAGTGGTTGGTGAATGGTTTGTTTTTGGAAATTAAGATTTTGTTTTTCTTGAATTGGATAAATTTGTTAATTTCTAAATTTGGAAAATCGAACTGCATACGCAACACTCAACGCAGCAAGGAAGTAAGTAATCGATCCTATCAAACATTATATTCAGGTGAAATTCTTATTGAAATTTCATCATCTTCTCAAATTGATCATGCAGCTCCAAACTCCATTCTCTACGATGGTACCTTCATTGCCAACAAGACTTCCATCATCATGATCATTGCTGGTTATCGATTAGGAGCATTAGGTTGGCTCGCTAATTCAAAAGCTCAAATGTCTGGAAATTATGGATTTATGGATCAATTAACAGTTCTAAAATGGGTGCAAAACAATATTGCTGCTTTTGGTGGAGATCCAAAAAGAGTGACCATTGGCGGTCAATCTGCTGGAGCTACATCAACGACTGCTCATTTAATTAGTCCAGCAAGTAAGGGACTTTTCCATCAAGTGATTGTAGAAAGTAATCCATTAGTGTTGCCCATGAGATTGATGGACGATGTGACGATTAATTTGGCAACTCCTTTTGCCAAACAAGCGAATTGTGATGTGAGTGATTTTGAATGTTTTCAAAAATTGTCGATTGATTCGATTTTGGAAGCTCAATATTTTTGGACACTTATAAGAACTTGTCAATTCCTTTGGAGACATTTTTACCTTGGGCTCCTACTGTAGCAAGTTTTGACAAGTTGATTCCTTATCAAACCTTTGAGGGTAAGTGAATTTAATATTATTTAGGAATAATTGTAAAGTTTGTTTTTGAAAAATTTACCATATATAATTTGAACCATGTGTTATTTGTGAATGTCACATGTGAATCTCAATGTCACTCCTGAATTTATTCTTGAACACAAATCATGGTACTACATAACAGCTGTACAAAAAGGATATTATCACAAAGTTCCAATGATTTTTGGAAATGTGGCAGAAGAAGCTCTCATTTTCATTTATATGGGAAGTAAAAAAAGATGACTACATTGGAATATATGGCATTGTTATATGCTGTTTTTGGTATTGAAGATGGAGCAAGAGTGTTGAATTGGTATCGTCCTCTTCTCGATGGTGATAAACGCCCAGAATTGAGTATTATGGGAACTGATTATATATTCCTGTGTTCATTAAGAAATGTTCTCTCACAAATTACCACTCAAAAAAATCCTGAATTACCAGTTTATAATTATATTTTTAATCATGTGTTGACTTTTGATGCTTGGGGACCAAAGTAAGTTGAAACGAATCATAGATTGTTCATTATTTAAAATATTGAAATCTATTTTGAAAACAACAAATGATTACCTTAATGAAACAAATAAGGTACACTTATTGTGTGGGACATGTTTGCCATGGAGCTGAATTGCCATTTGTTTTCCATTCGCTAGGTGTTCACACATTGCCTGACATGCACTTCAGTCCGGAAGAAGATATTCTCTCCATTTCCATGGTTAATTACTTTACCAATTTTGTGAAATATGGAAATCCAAACGGTAATTCAACTGCTGTGACATGGCCTCGATTTAGTGCCAACAATCGCCAAACTATGATGTTCCAAACACCATTCAATCAAATGGTCAAAGACTACAAGAAGGATTATTGTGATGAATGGGATTACATTGGTTACGATCATGGTTGGTTGAATCAACTCAAAAAAGAATTAAGCATCCAAAATGGTGCGAGAATTGTTTTAATGAACAATTTCTTCGTCTTTTCTTAATTCGTTCACTTCCAACTCACCATTATCAACTTTTAATGAATCATTTCGACAATCAACTCCATCATTTTCTTCACACAAAGCAGGCAAGTGATGCTTTTGATGAAGTAAATAACACTTCATTTCTCCTTTACCTTTAACATAAACTGCTTCTCTTTCTACAAATTGATAACTTTCCCATACTCTTTCATAGGATGTCCTCGAAAGTTGAATTCTTCCTGGAACACCAGTACTTTCCATTCTTGAAGCTGTGTTGATGGTATCTCCCCACTAGTTCATGTGAAGAATAACATTTGAATGAGTCAACAACAACATGAAAGATCACACTTACCAAATCGTAGGCAAATTTCTTGTGACCGATCACTCCTCCAACACACTCTCCTGTGTGAATGCCAATTCTTAGATTAATCTTTTACCTTTGTCCTTATTAAAATTATGAAGAAAACCAAAAATGTCAATGGCAAACTTGACTATTCTTCAGTGTGATCACTGGCTCTTGAAGCATGAGCACCAGCAACACAAAAATAAGCATCTCCAATGGTTTTAATCTTGTCAATATAATACTTTTCAGTGAGATGATCAAAATTGTGAACAATGTCATTGAGAAGAACAATCAATTCATTGGGTGACATGATACTACTCATGACAGTAAATCCAACCCTGTGGATGAATGAATATTTCAATGGTAATTTAAAGTTGTTAAATAATTCAATGACCAAATAAAATGTTTCTAATTAGGTTTCACCTTCCATATATATAAAGCTTACATGTCAGAAAAGAATACTGTCACATCATTAAATTTTTCACAAATGGAGGTTTCTCCTTGTTTGAGACGAATTGCCACAGGTAATGGAAGAATATTTAACAATAATTCTTCACTCTTTTTCTTCTCATCTGCAATCAGAGTGGTTTGTTTCTTTTCATTGGTGATATCTTTCACAAAACAAGCAATCTTTGTCTTTCGATTATAAAAACTCATTGATAAAGAAACGATTGCAGAGAATGTCTTTCGATTCTTTCTCGAACAAGTAATTTCAAAA